ATCTGTTAATCCCACTCAGTGTTGGACTTTGAATTCTTGCTGCAATCTGAATTTAACCAACTGTTAAGCATTTGTTCTGGTACTGAAGATCCAGAAATGTTCGTTTAAAAGACACTTACACCTTACATTTGTGCTTTGGTCTCATTTTATCCTTAATGTATAATTTATTATATATTAAGGACATTATCATCACTGTTTTTTAAACTGTTGCAACAAAAGAAATTACCAAATATAGGATAAAGAAACCATTTTGTATATTTATCTGATTGTCCATAGTTACGCCCATATTTCTGGTGTAATTTGATAACAAAAATATGGGAAAAATAACTAAATACATAGCAGATAAACCTGAAATTTAAAAATATTTGTTTTCCAAATGTTTAACACACCTAATTATTGGGTAACAGTTTGACACTGAAACCTTTGTAATGAATATGTGATATGATAAATGAAAATATCATCTCTCACTGACCTATAAACTTTCTTTACATAAGATGGCTTTATGTGTTTTATTTTTCACCCTCTAGTGTTTACTGGATATTATCAGGAGCTCCTCAGACCAAGATGATGATCTGTATGATATCGTAAGTGTGAGATGTGCTACACAAACAAAGTTAGCCCTGCTCAGTTGCTGTGATATAGTATTTCTGCTCTACTGCACAGCCGTGCTGTGTAGCAAACACTAAACTAAATTTAACGGAGCATTTTTAATGGCGATGACACCTTCATGAATTCTTGAATACTTTATTCGGTTTACTTTTCTAAAGAGATCCGCCTCGGACTCAAGTCCTGGTCTCATTCTTTACATCCTTTAGATCCAGCTGGCTAGTTCGCTTTCATTGTAATCCGAGTTTAGAGGGGTTTTTTTTCCTTTCTTTTTTTGCAGTTTTATTGTTTCTTTAGTGTCAGATCTATACAAATACATTCATTTCTCACACGTGTCCAGCCGTGTAGCTGCTGTTTTGTGTGTAATACTGTACATTTATTGGCCTCGCTTTTCTTTATTCTGTTCATTGTTATCAATAAAGTTATTTTTCCATGTAGATGGTTTATTAGCTATTAGCTCCCTGATGCTAACCAGCTCGCTCCCTAGCATTTGTTATGCTAACTGCTGTTGAGCCTGATCCAGCCTGTTTTTAAGTTACAAAACACAACCAGGAGCGACCAACTGCGCCAAATACATACTCCCGGGACAAGGGGGTGCGCTGGAAGGGAAGCTGGCAGTGCTGTGAGTAGTCTCTGGTGGGGTATTTTCCAGCTAACAGGGCTGTTTGTGGTTTCTCCTCCAGCAGCAGGCTAAGCTAGCTCGCTCCACTCGGGAGAAATCCGACCCGGAGGCCGAGCTCCAAACATCCACAGAGAAGGGAAAAAGCTCCCCTGGGCTGCTAACAGCACTTTTCAGCGTCTTTTACGCGAGGGGACGTGTGGGTAAAGGTCACAGTGTGGACACAAACTCACCTCGTATGAGAAAACAAAAACTACACAACAACAGACTCCGCAGCGCGACACCCATCTTTCTCCCGATTCTCGGCCCAGCAGCGGCGGCTCGTCAGCGGAGTATTCCCATTGCTGCGGCCGCTTCCTTGGCTAAAAAAAAAGCGGATTTCCCAGAATATTCAGGTCGATGTTCGGCTCCGGTAAGCATTACACCGTGCCCGCTTCCATCCCGGCTGGCTGCTCGCTAACTGCGTCGGATAAACTCTCGGTGTCTCACATTGTCCTGCAGGAGCTCCGTCGTCTCCTTCCGCTGTGAGGAAGCTGCCCCCCCTCTCAGCCTCCGCCTCCACCGCCACCTCGCTGCCCGGCTCTCTATTGTTGTTCCGCCTCACAGCCGCAGGTACGCTCACAACACGGAAACGTCCCGCAGAACCGACTTCGAACCCCCACAGAACCCCACCCCCCAACACAGACGTTAACCCCACATTCCCGCAGGACTACTTTATCACACGGACAGGGGCCCCACAAAACAGGGCCCCAATATCATCCAACGGCAGGGGCGTTTCGGGGATTTACATCAGGTGGCACAAGGCAAGGGGGGCTCAGGAAATCATTATATACTATATCTGCTTTTTTTAAACCAAATTCAGTCATTTGGTAAAAAGCTTTTAATCACCTTTGTTTGTTAAATCGCTGCATCACCACATATCTTAAAAATCTAAGTCTATGTAATGCCATAAAACATCAGAAG